AGATAGATAAATAGATAGATAGGCAAGCAATCAGCCAGCCAGACAGGCAGACAGGCAGACAGACAGACAGACAGACAGACAGACAGACAGACAGACAGACAGACAGACAGACAGACAGACAGACAGACAGACAAAACGAAGCCCTTCAAACGGTTGAATTCCACACAAGTTGAATCCTTAAAGAAACGGGTCTAAAAACAAGAAGTGAATGCCCCGTAACCTCAACCATTGTATTGTAATTGAAGAAACAGGGTAGGTGGTTGGCGGGTACTCTGGTGTGGTCTGCTCCTTCTTTCCTATCAAACATCTATCGTCCTTATCTCCAGTCCTTCTTTTTGTGTGTTTGTTACTCCCTTGTAACACCTCTAATCTTCGGCACTTATATGACCATATTGTGCTGCTAGTGCCGTAAAACTCTTACCCCCCCCCAAAAAAAAAAGTAGAAACAGAGTGACAAATGGTAGGTTTTAAGGACAAGCGGGCTAACTCAGATTTCGGGGGTCTTCAGAAATCTTGACCTACACCATAAATTATGGACATTGCCCTACCTATAAGAGAAGTTTGGTTTCTTTGGTATGTATATTTGTTTGGTTATAGAGAAAACTCTCATTTTCTTTTAAAAAACTGAACAAGGGGCAAGAACTTTACCTTCGATTTTCTTTCAACAAAGTTTTTCGGGATAGCCCCCTTGTGCTTAAAATAAGTTAAAAGCGACCAAATTTTAATTGGTGGGTGGCAACTCAACAAACACTAGCGAGGAGGTCGGAGTGTGTGCTAGCCTAGAGGAATTTCCTCCACTACGTCATAGGGAACTCCCCTTTCACCTGCACCACACAGCACTGTGTCATCGCCAGTGTATTTAATTAACAGTGGGAGTTTGTGCACGCCATAGACCTCAACTATAATCCTAGATCGCCCACTGTTATGGCTGCCACTCTTTGCTCTCTATAAAGCATTCGAATGCGTTGGTTTGCACTTCTTCTTCTTCTTCTTCTTCTTCTTCTTCTTCTT